GCGCTTCAAGGCTTAAGCCTCATTAGTTCCTGTGAGGCTTGCGCGCTTTTTTCAAATGAGGCACACATCTCGAGGTGTTTTGAGGCGGCTCCTCATTCAAAATAGGATTCTATTTTTTTTGCTTATATTACTATTAATAAACATATCATATTATATTACCAACCCACCCATGCAGTCAACGAACACACTAAAAAGCTTGAGCTAGGTCGGGATAGGGAGGCAGAGAGAGCTTTATCTTTTTCCATCATCTATGTTGTATCGATACAGATACGACACGATACGGATATGAGACACGTCAATTCTTAAAATTATAGGATACAGATACAGCGTGGATACGACATTATATTATATAAATCATACATAAAAATTAAGAAAATAATCAAAGCGTAATATCTGAAATGACAAAGAAAATTGAAAGCAGCATCATTTGTAACATTGTATCTTATAATATAAAAATTAAAGTAAGTTTTAAATATTTAAATTGTTAGTACAACAACAAAAAATAAAAATATAAATTGTCCAGCACATGAAAATTCAACTATTCAATAGAAGGAATGATAGGATTAACTTCTTCAGTGGTTTGTCTTTGAATTTCCATATCATCTTCAATAAATATCATAGCTTCCAATTCAGGCTCATCAAGTGAAAGATTTTCAATTTATAATATTCCCATATCCTCAAGAGATTCAAATCCATCTCCAGCAACATCCCACATCCTGTTGTCTCCTTTCATATAAGTTGGAGTTTTCCTTGAGAGAAGTCGAAAATTTTTATGCATATAAATTAAATCTTCAACCTATTGTGGAGTAATTTTATTTCTCTTCATTGATTGGATGAACGAGTATGTGCTCCAATTTCTTTCACAACAAGATGAGGATGAAACTTGGCCAAGCAATTTTATGGCAATTGTTTGAAGTAGAGGTGCTGAAGCTCCATGTATAATCCACCACATTTTCGGATCAATTGTCCACCTATCATGCTATGACTTTTGGTCATCTAAGTCCTCTAAATAACAAAAAAATTTAGCAAGCTCAATATTGACACTTCTTCTCTCCTCATTTGAAAAATAATGCTTCAAACATGTCTTCCTCATATTTAAAATTTCTAAATATTTATGTGGATAAACTCTTTGAGGATTCTCTTGAAGCCATTCTTTAGTTGAATATCTTCGAAAAACATTAAAATGAAATAATAAAAAAATGTTGAAATTACTAAACAACAAATTGTGAATTAATAATGAAAAATATTGAAATTTACCTGGGATTTAGTGAGTGAGCCAAGCAATGTAAATGTGTTTTACTTTTGCTCATACTATCTTCTAGAATAGCATAAATAACATCCCAGAAATTTGAGTCTTCATGAAGTGTCTTCCTCTCATATCTATATATAATTTCTTTTACTTTGGCAAGCATTGAATCCCACATCTCATAAATGAGATGTAAACAAGACTTATCCGTATCAGCTACTCTCCACATCTCATAAATTGGATCTATGAAATTTATGATGTATTCAATCTCATCTCACCATAAATCATCTAAAAGCTTCTCCTTAATATATCTAGCCTTTCCAACATCATCTTCCCTATAACAGGACCATTTGTCACTGATCACCATAGCTTGAAAAGCATTTTTTATTTTTTTTAATCTTCTCAATATCACTCTAACTAAGGCAAATCGAGTTTTAGCAACTGCAAGCATCTTCAAATTAGAGAAATCATTGAACATAGAGAGTTTCATGGAGTGATTCATAATAAAATTTTTAATTACAATTGCATCTCCAGCAATCACTGTGATCTAATGACATTCATTGTAGGTGATTTCGTTTGCCTCGGTATTCTTAGCTGCACAAATGTTCTTCAAGGCAAGATAAAGCGTATGCTCAACACATGGTGTCTAGAAAATATGAGGATAGGCTTGCTCTACAAGTAAACATGCAGCTTTACAAACATGTGCATTATTAGTAATGACTTGGATGATGTTTGAAGGCCCCACCATCATGATAACTTCTTTGATTAAATTAAAAATGAAGAACTTATCCTTGTGCTGTCCTTCATAGTTTACAGCTTGATAAACATATGATAGCTCTTTGTTACAGCTATGAAGTTGATAAGTGGTCTTCTTTGTGGATCTGTCCACCCATCAAAAACCAAAGTAACTACTTTTTTCTTCCAAACTCCTCTAGTAGGCTCGAGCAATTTCTCAATATTATCTCTCTCTCTTTGCAACAACTTTGTTCTAATGACATTATATCCTGGTGGCATGTATCTTGCAAGATTATTATTGCATGCATAGGTAAAAGCATTCTTGTAATGTGGATTCCTTGCTAGGTTAAAAGGAAGTCCAGCTGAGTAAAACATTCTAGCTATTTCCCCATCTAGTTGTTCTCTCATTTGTAAATTAAATGCTTTATCCAAAGCACTATTGTAGATAACATTTTGTGCTGTCTGCGAGTTGTTGAAAAAGACCCCTTGTGCACTCGATATGTCATATACAACTATCTACAATATGTTTACTTCTTTTGTTCAAATCCTTCCATCTGAAAAGGCTCGTTATTAACAGTACTGTCATCAATTCTAATTGAAGAAGATGATGAATGATATGAAGCATGAGTGCTTGGAAGTGGAATATGTTTTGGAAGCTCTTTTTTACTCATTTGCTCAGCTTCACTGATTTTTCTTTGTAATTTAGCCATTTGTGATGAGCTTATATTCGGACATACTTTAATTCCATGACCACTAATCTTCAACAAATGAGCTTTCACTCTATAATATGATCATTTGTATGTGGCATTACAAAAATTGCATTTGAATGTAATATTTCCACCCCCTTTTGACGTTTTACCTATTTTTGTCACATAACCCCATAGAGGTTTGTTATCTTTAATATTGATCTCTGATGGACCATCATTAGACCCAATTCCTATACCACTAGAGCTCATTATCCTATGAAGGATCGACACAAATTAATCCACATTAATTTGAAACATGAAAATTTTTAATTAAAAGTGTAGATATGTTGCGCTTATGTTGGGGGTCTAAGGGGGCGCTACCCCCTGGTGGAGTTCCGGTACCGAGTTCCGATACCGAGCGATACTAAGTTCCAGTATCGCTCGGTACCGAGCAGTACCGAGCGGTACCGAGCAGTATCGAGTACCGAGCGATAAGCAGTACTGAGCGGTACCGAGCGGTATCGAGCCTACGATTAAGAAAACGAAGAATGAAGAAAACAAACCTTCAATGCTCACGTCGCCTTTACTGTTCGTGTTGTCGAGTCGCTCCGTCGACGAAGGATTCTGTCGGCTTTAATGCTCATGTCATCGAGCCTCTTTGTCGACGAAGGATGATCCTGTCTGCTCCTATGCTCGCGTCGTTGAGCCGCTCCTTCGACTATAACAAAAAAGATGAACACCTGTGTGGAAATGAAAAACCTAGCTCGCCGAAATGTTTTAGCCGTATAAATGAATAGAGATATCGAGCGGATAGCCGAAATGAATAGAGCAAATTGCGGCTACTTTTTTCTTATTTTTTTTAAATAGGACACGCGTATCCGATACGCGTGTCCAATCAAATTTAAATAATATTTTAATTGGACATGGCAAATTGCTATCGCTTTCAGTCCAACTCCTTTGTCATCATGCCGTTATTGTCATTCCAACACATCCTCGAGTGGGATCATGATAGGGAGATTGAGAGCTTCATCTTCTTCCTCCATTTTCTTCAACCGAACTTTGTCTTCTTCATCATCTTCTGCACGCAAGCTATCATAGGGTACAAGGTTCGAGCGGGTTCAACTTCAGATCGACGACCTTGGTCAGTGAACTTGTGTTTTTTCCCTCAACTAATTAAGCAATTTTGTTCGTTTTTGTTGCGGATTTGGCACCCCCACCCCCCAAACAACAAAAAAGGTAAATTTGACATAATAAATAAATAAATAAATAAATAAATTATATATATATATATATATATATATAGAATTTCCCTCCCATTACATATTTTGCTAATAAATTTGAACTCTGCCTCCAACATCTTAAACTACCCATTATCTCCTTCGAAGTCCTAATAAATTTCAACTCCGACGACTCTCCGTCCCATGCCACTCCTGGAAGTTGCAGTGCAGGTCGGACTGCTAGGTATGTTCAGAATGGCTGCTAATTATGCTTCTTTTCTTTTGCAGAAGCTGCTCTAATCATTAAAATGTGAAGAAAAAACTTTTCTAAAGCTGTTGCTAATGGCTAAAGTCTTATGATTAAATTCTTTTACATTTTACAAGGCACTCTCTTGAAAGAGCACATGACCCTTTTGTTTTCTTGTACATCTCCAATTATTTTATTTTAAAGCTTGGATGTTTAGAATGGCCGTTGATTAAACTTGTTGTAATTATGATTTTTTAAAACTGCTTATTAAAATTTTTTAAAACTACCAATACCGGTTCCAAGCTTGATCAAGCAAAGTTGAGGGAATTTTTGAAACAATCAAATTGGGCCCCCTAGAATTATTTGCCATGGTGTAGGGGCTACGTTATGGAGCATCGTCACAACAGAGGTTGTGCTGGTTGAGAGATGTGGTTGACAAATGGGGATAAAGTAAGGATTTTGGTGTATTTATAAAATTTATATCCTAATTGCTTATTTAGGAAGCTAATGAAGTTATGTGAATTGGCTCTCAAAATTTGAAAATTGCTGTTGGTTCTCATCAATGGTGACGAACTATTTTTATTTTGTTCACAATTTTTTCTTTAACTTTACTCAAGCCAAATTTCGTATTTACCAAGTTGTTTAGGTTGTTTCATATCCAGTTTACTCTTCTACATTTTAAGATGGGTACTTTAACAAATGATTGTTATCAATTTAGATTAGTTGTTTCCTATCCAGTTTATTCTTCTACATTTTGCGATGGTTACTTCAACAAATGATTGTTATCAATCAACGTTTAGAATTGTCTGGTATTACAATGTATTAGCAGTAGAATTTGCTTTAGTCTCTGATTTGAATTTGAACGTTAGGGATTGAAAGTCTTGACAGTTGTTCGATTGAGGAACTGGGTCTTGAAAAGGAATCTGAGAAGCCAAGCAATGCGTTGCTTGGTAGGGGATGGTCCCCAGGTTGGAGCAATGCAGACAAAGTGCTATCTGTATTTGTGGGAGAAAATTTATTAAACTATTCAAAAAATAGGATGAAGCTTGAGGGCACTACTACCTCCTTGCTCTCACCTTACCTTCATTTTGGTGAGATCAGCGTAAGAAAAATTTTCCAAAATGTGAGAATGAGGCAGATACAATGGACAAAAGAAAATTCTGATGCAGTCGAAAGTGTCGACTTCTTTCTTCGATCTATTGGTCTTCGTGAATATTCACGTTATCTATGTTTTAACTTCCCCTTCACTCATGAAATGTCTTTATTGGGGAATTTGAAGCATTACCCATGGCGTGCGGATCAGGAACAGTTCAAGTCTTGGCGGCAGGGAAGGACAGGGTACCCGTTAGTTGATGCAGGCATGAGGGAGCTTTGGGCAACTGGTTGGATGCATAACAGAACTAGAGTTATAGTTGCAAGCTTCTTTGTCAAGTTTCTTCAACTTCCATGGACGTGGGGAATGAAATATTTTTGGGATACGCTCTTGGATGCTGACCTGGAAAGTGACATCCTTGGCTGGCAATATATCTCAGGCAGCTTACCTGATGGTCATGAGCTCATTAGACTTGACAGTCCAGAGGTTTGTTCCAGCTATTGCTAATGTTTTAATTATAATTTTCTCATTGTTCTATTTGTAATTTTGAATGTTATTTGATCTTTGATCCTTCAATTGGCATCATTTAAGCATATATCATGTTAAATGATTGGGTATACTTCGAGGTAACGGAAGTTTAGCTTTGGCTAGCAAGCCTACTAATTTTTGTTTCTCTTCTTGGTCCCTAAAAGGTTTAAAATGCATCTTTTAGTTCGCTATTTCTAGCACCTGTTTGAGCTTATGTAAAAATACCAGAAATAACCTCTCCAGACTTAAGAACCTTGAGCCCAACCTACTCATTGTCACCATTTGTTGGTGGTTGCCCAATGCTCATTTGCTTCCTCCTAAGCTCTTTCTCCTGGCCACTTTCACTCTTCTCTCTTTCTTTCCAACCTTCTACTACATCTCTTGCTCCAACACCTTCATCCACCAGTATAATGCCCATCCATTAATCCTCCTACTACACCTCTTTTTCTCTATTTTCTCTCCCCTTTTTCTTTCCATCTACATCTCCCTATGTGATCACCATGTGAAGGGCTGTTTCCCACATTTCATCTGTCTTCTTTCCACCTTTGCAACTATCCCCCACCTTAGTAAATCATTAAGAGTTGAGAACCACTCCATTTCTCATCTCTCCAACAGGTTGAGACTACCTAGTATAACCCACAAAGCCACTACTACCTTAACCCAATCATTGGTTTGGGTGGGACAAGGTTACTCCTCAAGCCTATGTGGGAGGAAGTGGGGAGTGGCCCCTAGACTCTTCATGATGTAGTACTTCTTAAAGGCTAAGTTATTGGCAATTTGGCGTACATTTAAAATGCAATATAAATTTAGATGCCACTAAACAATGCAATAAATATGCAATTTTGAAGGACATAAGCTTTCAATCATAAAATAACTATTTTTTTTATTTGTTGAAAGAATTTTAGCTTCTACTTGAAGTTAACAACAATGAAGTTAGGGATCATAAAATTCATGCAAATGTTTAAAATTTCATGTAAATAAAGAGTATTAGATTTTAGCAAATATAATAAAAATCAATCACATTTTCAACCGATAACTAAAAAATGGTAAGAAGGAAGCAGAAAAAGATAGTCTTAAAGGATAAGAAATCATTAAAAAGTAAAGCTCATGCTGGCATAAGGAGGTGGCTTGTTTCAAAATTTTCAACTCTTACATTTTAGCAAGAAACTGAAAGATTTACCCATTCAAAAAAATTTTTATCACCATTGAACTAATTTATAAATTTAAATGAGAATTTTACTCTTTATAGGACACAATGGAGAAAAAAAAAAATACATATAGCCAACCCCACGTAATGGGATAAAGGCTTGATGTTGTTATTGTTGTGCCGTAGAACTAATGCGCATCTCATATTATATACATGTTCATAAGTCTCATAAAATAGTTTTAAATAAGTAACTTGGATGGTATCACAATTCTTCAATTTAGCTTCCTTAGTAGACCCTCAAAGAGAGCAATTGAAAGTTTCAAGAGAACATCTCCTAATTCTTTTAACAGAGCTGGAATACTAGGAGTTAATTAGAAGCTGTTGGAATAATCAAACTATGGAGTTCCGCAAGACCAACTGACCAAAAATCCAACATAATATGGAGTTTGTTAGGAATAAAATAAGCACCACAACAATTCAAACTGCTGGAATAGACAGGAACAATACAATCTGCAGGAATAGAGATGAATAACTATAGTAAAGGTGCAACAACCATACATCCGGTTGTAAAGCAGTGAGTATAACTGCATTAAACATTAGACTAATATTAAAACTTTATGGATTTTCTAACTGCATGCATTCATCCAAATTCATATGATACTGTTTTTCTAACAGTTAGTTTCTATAAGGGGCTCTAGATAGACTTTACTTTATCGACTTCCTTGAGTTTCTTATATATCTTATTTACATCTGAAGTACTTCTAATTGTCATAATTAACAGCAATTATTAAGCAAATATTTTGATGCAAAACATGGATATGACTAATTGCAATGCTATAGTATATGATACATGTAGGTGTAATGATTTAAAAAAGTTTATAAACTAGAAAATCAACAACATATTAAAGCAAATAATTTGTCTAAAACATGATTTGGAAAGATATATTTAAAATTTATTCAAATGCATGCTTTAGAACAACAAGATTCATTCATATGCAATTAATCAGTGAGCATGAAGTAGATTAACTAAGTATGTATAAAACCTATGTTGCACCAATACGGATACGGCGACACGGATACGATACGATACGGATACGGGACACGTCAATTCTTAAAAATACAGGATACGGGTACGGCGCGGTCACGACATTATAATTTATAAATCATACATAAAAATTAAGAAAGCAATCAAAACATAATATTTGAAATTACAAAAAAAATGGCAACAACATCATTTGTAGCATTGTAGCTTATAATATCAAAATATAAGTAAGTATTAAATGTCTAGTACAAAAACAAAAGTATAAACATAAATTATCTAGCACATGAAGTTTCAACTATTCAATAGAAGGAATGATATAATTATCTTCTTCATTGGTTTGTCTTTGAACTGCCATATCATCTTCAATAAATCATAGCTTCTAATTTAGGCTCATCAAGTGAAAGATTAATAATTTTTAATATTTTCATATCATCAAAAGACTCAAATCCATCTCGGAAATGAGAGAATCTTGCTCGCATTACGACACGTCTTTTTTTTTTTTTCAGATTTCTTTTTATTTTTCAACGGACACTCGTATCGGTACGCGTGTCCTTTTGAAATTAAATAGTATTTTAATTGGATACGGCTTTGGCGTATCCGACACGTATCGGTGGAGTATCGGAGTATCGGTGTATCAGATACAGCACGCCTTCATAAATAGGTGTATCGATGCAACATAGTATAAAACTTACACTAATGTAAGGACCAAAATAAAATTAGGAATATGTTTGAATTATTTGAGGAGAAGTGTCGGTACTTCATAGCTTCCTCATACATCCACCTTCAAACACAAATCATCCTACAAAGTTTTGTTGCCTCCTTATAACCCAACCCTTGTGGGCGTGGCCTCGAGGTTTGCCTCCCCAAAACCAATCAACGTCCTCCACCTCCACACCTTTTAATTTTACTTACCAACCTTCAATAAGCCCTCAACTACCTTCACTCCTCTCAACCCATATAAGGATATCAACCAATAAGCGTTATAAGAATAGGAAGCCATATAAATTCAACTGTAGAAATAAGAAGCCTTAGATGTAGGAACATTATCATTAGCCTTATCATTTGGTGTTGGATTTATGAGCATTAATTTTTCATTCATTCGTGCTAAGTGCTTCTTAAGACATTAAACTTAATCTTCGTAATTTATTTTGAACAATTTATATTCATATTACTTTAGGTTATTCCTTCTTCTTTCTATTAATCTTCGTAATTTATTTTGAACAATTTATATTCATATTACTTTAGGTTATTCCTTCTTTCTATTCATCTGACTAATTATTCAACTCATTTATTGGGTACACTTTCTACACTAATTCAACCATTTATTCATTATAATCATTTATTTTGTTTTAATCATATCCTTGCACATATTCGTGTGTTTGGTCATGCTCATTGTTGTGTCTTCGCTTTGTTGTCTTGTTCATGCATTCATGCGCTCGGATTCATGTTCACCTTGCTCTAACTACGATTTGTGCCCTTACACATCCTTTTTGTACACGGTTATGTTTACTTGCCCTTTGTCGTGCATAATTATGTGTTTGGTTGATCTCGGAGGTTGTCATGGTTGTCGAATCTTGGTCTCCCTATGATCTTTAGCCTTTGTTACTCCTGGTTTAAATTTTTGTGCCTCTTCAGCAGAGTGCATATACCTCTGGTCATTGTGCTTGCACTCATGCCATCTTTGACGTTGGCTTCTAAGATTAGCTTCCTTGCTTGCTTGTTTTAGCTTGTTCCCTTTTAATTCTACTCAACAACTTATATCTGTCACCATGCTTTCTCGTTTTGCCTAGAGTTGGTTCATGCCTTGACCTCTAAGCGAGCTTCTCCTATGCCTACTTTTTTAGGTTGATTGGCGAGGCTATTCTTCTCTACAATGATCTCAATGCCTGCAGATTTCCATGTGATTCCTCATCCTGCTGTTTGAATAAGTATGGCTACTATATTTGCTCACATTGGCATCCCTTGATCCTTTTCTACAATTGTTGGGTGGTTACTTGCTCCAGAAAATCAGAGGGCTTCGTTTACCCAGTTTCTTTTATTTTTTTTTTATCAAAAATCAGATCCTCATTAATACAAATAACCCTATGCATTTTTGGATAAACCAACTCATTTTTTTATTGAATCAGAGATCTCTGAGCTAGCTACTCTATTCTTTTCTCTATATTGAGAAAATTTTTGATGGGGAGCGCCCCTAATTTTGATATTATATGTAAATTTATATCAGATTTGCATTTGGATGGAGATTAGTCTATTGGGTTATTTTATCCTTGTCATTATCATCAAATTATTTGTGTAAGTAAATTACTCTAGAATAGCTTTAAGACAATTTTTCTATATATGTGAATTTTTATATGCATATGAAAGTGGTCCTCTCACTTTCTCGATTTCTTTCCCTCGTTGTTATTATTTCAACCAATTTACATTATATTTTTTGGGTTCTATTTTTAGCAAAACGTTACAAAGTAATGTTGCAATTGCTCCTTTCCAGCATGTTTGTGGCTAGGGTGTTAGTGGAAATGGATGTTGCAATCCCTTATGAAATGGAGATTTAGATTGGCTCCCCTTATGGTTGTGTTTGAAAGCATTCTTGTTTATTGTATCTCTTGCAAAATATTTGGGCATAAATACTCCGATTGTTTCAAAGTTAATTAAAAAAATGAGGAAATCACCTATTATTGATCTTAACAACTATTAGCAAGGGGAATATATAAATGATCCAAAGTTATCCTCTTTTGTTGAACATGCAATTCCACCTTAATTAGTTCATTA